ACTGAGGTATTTTTGCTAATAATTTACAGGCCGGGAATACGGAGTGACGGAGCTGGCATTCCTGGTCCATGAAAGGTGGAGACCCTCCGCCCGGCCGGTTAAGCTCACGCTTACGGGCTCGAAAGCCTCACTGACTGACACGCAGGATGTAACTTCAATATAAGCCAGCTCAAGAGAACGTCAGATACGTGTGGCTTAAATTTGGACTCACGTAAAGAATTGCAGTTAATAGTCGCTTTGCCCTGGGGTCGGAGGTGGGACACCACCCGGGCCTCGTCCCTGCGGCCACGTCACCTCCACAGAAGCCTGTTGGCGGGAAGTCGGCTGCTGTGCTGCTAGCAGGCTCTGCTCCGATCCGTTGCTGGCAGGTGGGCTGTGGGCTGTGGCCCAGGTGAAACGAAAGGGGCGCCGCTCTAGGACTGTCGCTGCCTGTTCAGTTCCCTCTCCTGAGGTTCGAAGCCTCCATTGGGGTCAGCGCCGAGACCTGGCGGAGAGGAACTGGGCTCCCGGCTCAAGGGAGCACGGCTCCCCGGTCAGGGGTCCCAGCGTCTTTGTTGCTGCTGGTTCTCCCCGCCCGCCCGCCCTCCCGCTGGGTCTGCGGCGGCGACAGCCTGCTGTGCGGGAGGGGCTGACGGCCGCAGCTCGGTGATGGACACGCCCTGACGGATCCGTGAGGACTGGACACTGACCAAGCGAATGGCCAGCGTCCCTCCGTCCCCAGGGAAGGGCGTCCTCTCCGAAGGGCACTCCGCCCGCTGGCTCTCACGTCTGCATCCGCACACTGTCCCCTGGGCGGCAGCGGCTCTGGTGGTGCGGACGCTGCCAGGCGGGAGGCCACGGCACCGCCTCTGCTGGGGCGCGGGCGGCACGCGAATGGCCCGGAGCCCCTGGGACTGGGCCCTGGTGCCCTGTCTGTGCCGAGCGCAGCTGGTGAGTGTCCACCGCTCTTCCCTCGGAAAACCGACACCGGTTTCCTTCCGAACAGAAATGACAGGGACATTGGAGCAGCCGGGGCCTGGGGAGGGCTGACGGTGAGGATCGTGCGGGGTGAGCTGTGGAGGGAGGCCTTACCCCGGAAGATGCTGGTCCCTGGAGCTCGGCCGGACCGAGCTGCCTCCCACCACGTGTGGGACAGCATGTTCTCTGCTCGGGGACCAGGTGGCTGAGGCCACGGGCTCACGAGGGCTCCCGGTGGCTTCGCTTTATGTGCTCACACAGCCCGGGTTTCCTGCGTGGGAGGTGAGCAGGGGAGCCCCCGGCTGGGCAGGGAGTGGGGGCTGATGGGAGGCCCTGCCCCTGCAGATGGCCGGGGCGGGGTGGGGTGGGGGAGAGACCATGGGGCCCAGCCCCGGGCCTCCCAGGGCCCTCAGCTGCGGAAACACAGTGACTCTGCGTCTCAGTGTCGCATCCAAAGATACAGGAGGAGGAAGACGAAAGGGGTGTGTTGCTTTGTAAGGACCTGGCAGCCACGGTGCCCTGAGGGACATGCGTGTCGAACTGACATCCAACAGACGCACCCGACTCGTTGCCTTTTCTCCACGAGAAAATGAAGAGACAGAACCTTCGGACTGAGAGCCTGTTGGCCACGCCCAAGAGCTTTTTACAGATCTCCCGATGGAAGGTTTAAATGCACGCTTTCCCCGGCATTAGGAAGGATCCCTACGTGGACTCTGTGCAGCTTTACAAGGAGGGTGTGGGCACGGGACAGGCTCCGAGATGAACCATTCTCTGGACAATGATCTCTCTGGCGGTGCTCGCGAGGCCCTCCCTCTGCGGCCTGCGCCGAGCAGAGAGGATCCTGACGGAGGGACAGGCTCGGAGGGGCGGTGGGCAGGCCGCCCCGAGTCACCCTCTCACCGGGAGACCAGGGAGGAGGCTCGGCCACGGATCACTGGGATGTGCACAGGTCCAGTGGGACTTGCGTGGTTGTAAACGCCTTTTATCAAGTATTTAGAAGGAAAGAGGGTGGCCGGTGGTCGTCTTCGGCTTCCCCAGAACCGCTGGGTTCCCGGCGACAGCTTGAACCCGCCACAGCCGAGGGAGGGTCCTGGAGAATGTCGGGGTGTGTGTGTGTGTGTGTGTGTGTGTGTGTGTGTGACTGTTCTAGCGAGTGGCAGGTGACCAACTGGTTCCGGAGACACAGAGCCCTCCCCAGGCCCGCGTGCTCTCTTCCCAGGAAGCCATGTGTGTTCCCTTGTAAATACGGACGAGATTTCCAGAGCTGGTCGGATAAGAGGCAGGTTTTCTTAGAAGATGACTTCCCAGCTGCCCAAGCCAGACAGGGCTGTGCTCCCTTCTGTCCTGTGGGCCAGAGGCGCCCCCTGCTGGCCACACTTAGGCTGGCTCACCACTTTGGCTGACTTTTAAAAATTTTTTATTAATATACTAGAGGCCTAGTGCACGGACTCATGCACCAGTGGGGTCCCTTGGCGTGGCCTGCGGGGATCAGGCCGAAACCTGCGGTCCAACGCTGCCTGCTATTCCTGCTCATCCTGGCCCTGCTGCACCTGCGGCCGCCGCTGCTCAGCTCCTGGTGCCTGTGGGTCAGCTGAGTGGCGCTCCCGCTGTGGGAGCACACTGACCACCAGGGAACAGCTCCTGTGTTGAGCATCTGACCCCTGGTGGTCAGTGCACATCATAGTGACCGGTCGACCGGTGGTTTGGTTCCTTAGCCTTTTATATATATAGATTTTTATTGATTTCAGAGAGGGGAGGGAGAGAGAGAGAGAAACATCAATGATGAGAGAGAATCATGGATTGGCTGCCTCCTGCACGCCCCACACTGGGGATCAAGCCCACAACCTGGGCATGTGCCCCATCGGGAATCAAACCCAGACCTCCTGGTTCATAGGTCAACGCTCAACCACTGAGCCACGCCTGCCAGGCTTGACTGGCTTTGGAACCAGCTTGGTCCTCTCCTACCGCCGAGTGCATCTGCTTCCTGGTGGGGTATTTGCTTAACCTCACTGCTTCCACCTTGTTTAGGTAAAAGAGAAAAATTCTATGTTATAATGTGACTAGAGGCCCGGTGCATGAATTCATGCACTGGTGGGGTCCCGCAGCCTGGCCTGCGCCCTCTTGCAATCCAGGACCCCTCAGGGGATGTCGGAGAGGCAGTTTTGGCCTGATCCCCGCAGGCCAGACTAAGGGACCCCACTGGTGCACGGGCACCAGGCCTCTAGTATGCATATAAGATCTTTGGTAAATCTCTTCCCACCCTCCCCTCTCCTCCCTTCCCTCTGAGATTCATCAGTCTGTTCCATGTTTCCATGCCTGTGGTTTCTGCTCCTGCATTGAGCATCTGCCCCCTGGTGGTCTGTGCGTGTCATAGCTTCCAGCCAGTTGTCCGGTTGTAACAGTTGCTTAGGCTTTTATATATATAGATAAGCTAAAATGCGTAGGGACCATGCCCAGCATAGAAAATGAGTACTTTCCCTCCTAGAAGAGCTACTGTCTTATCTTCGTGTGGTGCCCACAACGCACCCTAACATCCTCCATGTGTCTGGGCAGGTGTGTCTTAGGGGTTGGGGTCCATCCAAAACCATATTTTCTTTTTTTCTTTAAAGAGTCACATTTATTGCAATCCGGGACTATGAGGGGCCATTCCCCAAATCTCACAGCGATAAGATGTCCGCAACACCGGGTTTCTACAGGCAAAGATCACAAAGGTATTGATTACATCCCAAGGTTTGGAACGAGGAACCTGGTTTGCAAAAAAAGCGGTTTACAGGAGCAGAAGCAGCACGTTATCTAAATCACAGTTTTGGGTCTCCGGTCACTGAATTGACAGAAACACATTATCCAGAGCCCTCGGGTCTGGAATGGGGCACCTGGTTTGATCTAAATCACAGTTTTTGGGTCTCCGGAACACTGAGTCAACAGGGACACGTTAACTGGAGCCCTCTGACCTTGGGATAACTGTGCTGACCTGCCCAGGTAAAGGAAAGTGTGCTTGCTACGACCAGTGTGACCACAGCCCATGGGACAGTCACAGGACAATCAATAGGGAATTCAATCGAATGGGGTGATTTATATAATTCAGAAAATCAAAATAACTTTTCTATTATTTTAGCAAACAAGTCAGTACAGAAACCAAACAGCAGGGTTCGAGTTAAACTACAGTTGCTACCTGCGACGACCGCTACCATACTTCATGCCCCACTGGCAAAACCGTGTTTTCTGAGAGCGCGGTGAACATCACTTTGCTTTTTTCTTAATAACGAGGAGGCTGCCTTGTTCTGATGTCAGAGCTGGGACGTGGTGCGTGGGGAGGGGGCGCTCCCCGCCCACCCTGCACCCGTGTCCTGACTGTCCAGGGGTGCGTGACCAGGACATGGGGGACCCCCCCATGGGGCCGTGATAAAGCTGGGCAGGTTCTGGGAATTGGCAGGACAGGCCGTGGGAAGCCTCGCCTTCGTGGGCTCCCGGGTCCAGCCCCGGCTCCTCTCGCTGGTCTCCCGGTGGGGACTCGCAGACACCTCGTTGGGCGTTCATGTGGGTTGAACAAAACCTTGGGAATCCCCAGTCCCGCCTGCCTCCCGAGGGTGCCTGGTTTGGGGCATCTGCGGCTCCCCCTCCCTCCCAGGCCTGTCACTGCAGGACCGGCCCCCAGCGGCCCCGAGTGGGTCTGGAACCCGCCCGCCCACGCGCCCCGGGTCGGTGGCAGGGTCCCCGGCGGGGCCTCCCGAGGCCGCGTGATCCGTCCTTGCGGGCGCCTCGCACAGGCCGGGCGGCGGCGGAGGCAGGGCTGTGCGCGCCCCGCACGGAGCCCCGCGCACCGATCCGCCGCGGGGAGGCCCGCAGTCTGCAGTCCGGGCGGCGAGGCGGGGCTGCCGCAGTGACGCCCACGCGGGCCGCGGGCGGGGGGGACGCGGCGCTCGCTCTCTCGCTCGCTCGCGGGGCGCACGCACCTGGCGCGGCAGGTGCTGTGGCTGCGGCCCGGGCGCGGCGGCCGCGGATGCTGCAGAGGCCGAGGCCCGGCGCGCAGGGGGCGGAGCGTCGCGGCGGCCACCGCCCCGGGAAGCGCATCTGCGCGGCGGCCGCCACCTGCGCCGCGGGGACCGGCACCGCGGGGACCGGGCGCTCGCGGCTCCGCTGATCCGCCCGCAGAATGGCTCACGCGGCGGCTTCCATCAAGAAAGTGCGGGAGGCCGAGCTGGAGGAGAAGGAGCGGGTCCTGGAGCGGGAGCGCAAGAAGCAGCGGCGGAGCCCGCGGGAGCGCGCGGAGCGCAGGCGGAAGGTAGGAGGCGCGTCCTGACCTTCGCGGCGCGGCCCCGGGTCCCCCGTCCCAGGTCCCCGGTCCCCGGCGGTCGGCAGGGCCCCCGGCTGGATGCGCGCCGCCGCGGTGGGTCGGGCCTGGTCTGCGGCAGCGAGGCCCTGGGTGCCGCCGGCACGTGCCCCCCCCTCCACCCCCGGCTTCCCTGGCAAAGCAGAGGCGCCCCCCTGCACCCCCTCCGTTATCTTCATTCAGCCGCGGGGCCCGGGGCTCCGTTCCTGCGGGGATCTGGGCACCCGCCGCGGGAGATGGGGTGCCGGTGGGGGGAGGGCGCCCTGTCCGCCCTGCGGCCCCCCTCCCCCCGGGCTCATGGAGCTCGCTGCTGGGGAAGAGCAGCTCGTTTTAGTCATTTTCCCCGACGCTGGTCTGTGTGATGCTGCGCTGGGTGCTGGGGCGGGAGCCGTGCCTCTGAGATTTGAACATTTCCATTGCGATCTTTTATCTATTTTTTAATTTTTTGGTTTCCAGCATGCGTCTCAGGATCTCCCTTTTGGGACCGTAGCGTTACGTGCCACGACCAGGGTTAGGAGAGACGGGGTGGATGCGGGTCCCCTTTCCGTTCAGCTGTAGAATTATGGCCTCTTTTCAGATACTGTTTTTCTTTCGCTTGGAGATCATCCCGCCACTCGGTGGCGGAGCTGGCATTTGCGTGAAGCCGGGCCTGGCTCCGGGCGGCAGGAGGCTCCCGGTGAAACGCCTGATTAGTGGGTCAGGGCGTCTCTGGGAGGGGCTGCGGGGCAGATGGCGCTGGGGGGCGGGAGCGGTGTTTGTGCTCCAGCCGGTGCTGAGCGCTGCTCTCTGGCGTGAGGGACGCGGTCCGTGTGCTCAACCGTCCTCTGCTTAGAGCCTGTGCTCCGTGGGTGCTAACAGGGGGCTCCTTTTCCACCTGGGGGGCGTCTGGGCCCTGCTTTTGGAAAGACACCCGATGACCCCCGTGGAGCCGAGTTCCCACTGACCCCGGACTCAGCGCATTGCCATGCCCACCCCTGAGGGCCCGAGTCGGGCACCAGGCCACACACACGGTGAATTAGCGGGCATCGCCGGTTACACTGGCTGTCTGACCTCCCCAGGCCTTGCTTCAGGTGCAGTTCTTTCTTGTTTTGTTTTGTTAAGCTTCACCCGAAGGTATTTTTCCACTGGTTTTTGGAGAGACTGGGAGAGAGAGGGAAAGACGCACAGAGAGAAACATCCATGTGAGAGAGACCCATGGATTGGTTGCCTCCTGCATGCGCCCTGACCAGGGCCGGGCTGGGGAGGAGCCTGCAACCCAGCTCCGTGCCCTTGACCTGAATCGAACCTGGGACCCTTCGGTTTGCAGGCCGACGCTCTGTCCACTGAGCCACACCAGCCAGGGCTGTTTGTTCTCTTCTGTGGCCTCAGAGGTGCCCGGGCCCTTCCCCGGCAGCGGCTCCCTCCTCGCCAGGCCCGCGTTCCGTGCCCGCGGCTGCACACACTCTCCCGGGTTGCACCACCTTCATCTCGTGTTCTCCACGCAGCCTGCCATTTCCTGGCCAGGACGCTGTCACGTCCAGCTGTGAGCTAGTGACTCGCGTCCCCAGAGGGCCGGGCACACATGGGACGCCTCCTGCTCACCCGGCCTGTTTCTCAGATCTGTGCCCTTTTCTGTGCTGCGTGACGACGGAGAACCCACGCCGTGACCGTGGGACAGTGCCCGTGGCTCGGTGCCGCATTGCTCTGAACGGTTAATGGTGTGGTCATGTGACAGGGTCCTCCCGGCTTCGTATCTGGATGCTGTCCCTCGGCCAGACCCCCGGGAAAGGGGGATCAGGGCGGATCACGGCGCAGCGACTGCTTGTTCTTGTTCCGGTTTATACGCTCACCTGTGGGTGGTCCTCCCCTCCCACGGCAGAGGCAGGCGCACTGCGTGGGTGCTCACAGCTCTCGGAGGCTGAGCGTGGCGCTGGCTCTCAGCGGAATCGGGTTTATTTTCTAGATTCACATCCTCCCCCCCCCCCCCCCCCACGGCCACGGAGCCAGCTCTGAAATGTGGTCTGAGAGAAGAAAAAGGCGTCTCCCCATCATTCCCTAAGGCAGTTCGTGAGGAAATGGACACGGATGGTGGATGGTGGTGGGTTAGTGGCTCCCTGAGCTCCCTCCCAGAAAGTGCCGAAGATTATTGTGCTGTGTTTCCTGGTGCCATTTGCTACCCATGGGCCACCTCAGCCGTGCAGACATTGTGCATCACGTAGCGTACACGCTCATCCTTAACGTGTCCTTCAGGTGAGCCTGCTTACGCCCCAAATTCAGGTAGGCCTGGCCTACCCGCTGTGGATAAAAGCCAGCTGTAAAGCTTAAAAAAAAAAAATAAACCAAAGAGATTTTGAAGAGCTTTTTCACTCAAGTGAAAATTATTGTGTGTTGAAAACAAGTCAATGAAGTAGCCTCATATTTGGGTTTATTTTTCATATTCTTGTGTGGGCTTCCTGTTAATTAGAAATATATCTTTGCATGATGATTTTGTGCTCCGTGACACGCTTTAAAATCAATTTTAATTCTTTGTGAACTTGAAACATGCTGCGAGCGAGGCTGCAGTCCCTCTGCCCAGTCCTCCCGGCCGTGGTCTTTAAAGGCCACATTCACGTCCTGCAGGACCTGCTTTCAGTCGCACGAGAAGCAGACTGGATCGCGGGGTAACGCGTCCCGGCTTCTCTGGGCCACGCGTTGGACAGCTGACGTCGAACTGGACGAGAACCAGTGTGTGCTGTGTCTGTGTCCTGCTCCTCGAGCTGGAGTAGCAGTAAGCTGTGAGTAAATGGTCCACGGTGCAGGTGCGTTGAAATGAACGAATTTAGGTTTATTTGCTTAAACGAGTACATCGACGTTTTAGCTTTTTATAGGGAGAAGAGGATGTTATTAGCTGACATTTATTTGAATCATTTCTTTTTACGTCCACATAGCTCGTGTCCAGGCTGGGGTCTAAGAGTGTAGGCTTGAGGAGGATGCTGGAAGGAACAATTAAGTTCCTCACGCTTGTGAGACGCAGTTCTAAAGAGAGCTTTCAAGTAAAATGTTCTTTCCACAACCACACGCTATTTCTCAACTACACTTGTTTTTTTTTTAATTTGGGAAATAAATTATTTTCATGGGCTGGTTAAACACACACACACACACACACACACACACACACTCTCATCCTTGAAAGCAAAGCATATCTATACTAATAAAAGGGTAATATGCTAATTAGGCCTGGTCGACCAGCCATCTTCCAGACGTCCTACTTCCTTCCGGACAAAGCCATGGTGGTGGGGGCTGAGGCAGAGGCACTTGGGGGCAAGATCAGGCCAACAGGGGAGGGCAGTTGGGAGCGAGATCAGGCAGGCAGGCAGAGGGGTTAGGGGCAATCAGGCAGGCAGGCGAGTGGTTAGGAGCCAATCGTGTCGGATTGCGAGAGGGATGTCCGACTGCCGGTTTAGGCCCGATCTCACAGGGGTCCCAGATTGGAGAGGGTGCAGGCCGGTCTGAGGAACCCCCCCTCCGTGCACGAATTTTGTGCACCGGGCCTCTAGTCTTTAAATAATCTTCCTCATTTAAACAAAATGATCGGTTATTTTCAAATAAATAGGTATGTTCTCCATTTCTCAGCACCGGCAACCCCTTTTCCAAGACATCGTCATGCCTGCCACACGCAGTGGCACTCTCCCACGTCAGAGGCCATGTGTGTGCCTGGTCTTTAGGACCCTGATGCTGAAGAAACCCTTCCCGTGACTTTACTTTGCCCGATGACAAAGCCCAGGCTCCTACTCCCCGTGAAAAGCTGATGATGTATTTGTCAGGTGCCAGTGTGGCCTTGTGCCCACCATGACTCCATCCGGGGAACAGCCCGCCGTCACCCGCTGTGGAACGTGCTGAGTCAGATGGGGCAGAGCTGGGATGGGAACCCAGGCTCCAAAGTTCTTTGGAGGAAAACGGGGGCTGGGCTTCCTACACAGAAGGTAGGGCCTCGTAACTCAGCACTCCGTCTGCTGAGGCCTCACTCTCTGCACCTCCAACTGCTCCCTACGACGAAGAGAATCTAATTAGTGTGAGAATACGTCAGAGGACTTATCTGAGAGGAAACTACATACATTCAAGGTGGTGATTCTGTTGTAACGGCACCAAAATACCTATGAGATTTCTTAGAAAATGAGCCATGAGAAGTCCACGTTTGCTTCTTAAATGCAGCCGTTGCCGTCAATGATGGGCTGTGATTTTATCATCGTTCTTTCCTATTTTTTTTTTTAAAATTAGGATTTTAAGATGTGTCTGCATATTTGCATGTATGCAGCCGGCACGGAAAGGTGGTTTTGTGTGGAATAAAGCAGAGAATAAAAGCAAACTTTCAAGTCCTTTCTATTGATTGTCATAGAGAAAGGTTCTGATCAGCTCTTTGCTTTTGTTTTTATGGATATTACTAGAGGCCCGGTGCACAAAAATTTGTGCACTCGGGACGGGAGGGGGGAGTCCCTCAGCCCGGCCTGTACCCTCTCACAATCTGGGACCTCTCGGGGGAATGTCCACCTGCTGGCTTAGACCCTCCCCAGGAGATCAGGCCTAAGCTGGCAATCAGTCATCCCTCTGGCAGCCCGGCAGCCCTCGGGGGATGTCCACTTGCTAGTGAGGAGCAGGCCTAAGCTGCAGTCGGACATCCCTAGCACTGCTGAGGAGGCAGGAGAGGCTCCCACCACCACTGCTGTACTGGCAGCCGGCAGCCTGGCTTGTGGCTGAGCAGAGCTCCCCCTGTGGGAGCGCACTGACCACCAGGGGGCATCTCCTGCATTGAGCATCTGCCCCCTGGTGGTCAGTGTGTGTCATAGTGACCAGTCATTCCTAGTCATTCTGCTGTTAGGGTCAATTTGCATATTACCCTTTTATTATATCGGATTATTATTTTGGAGGGATTAAGGCTTATCATTTCGAGGACATCTTTGGGAGGCCCTCCTGCCCCCATATTTTCCTGGTCTCTT